CCCCCCCCCCCTTGCTCTCCAGTGTGGTTATTAAGAGGTCACACTTGGACCTGCTTGATGCAGATTCATGCCCAAATGCCTGGCTTTGAACGGCCTTTGCCTGGAGGCTGGGAAGGCCATTATTCAGGGACGCGCCGTCCTTCTCACTTGGGGTTCTCCAACCAGCGCTAGGATCTTCCCCATGTCGTGCAGCAGTCCGACCAAGTGGAACCAATCTGTGGCAAAGAGAGAGGAAAACCACACGTATTTGTGTATGTTTTTGGATACTCTGGTGTTCATAAGAATTAGGAGGTGCTGGGGACATTCTCTGTAGTTTTTCCAAGAGAAGTTGGATGGCCATCTGTTGGGAGGGCTTGGATAGTGTTGTCCTGAATGAGAAATGGAGTTGGACTAGATGTCCTTTGGATGCCCCTTCCAACTATAGGAATCTTTGAGTTCAGTAGTGAATTTCCTTCTTAGTTTAGTTGGGTTCAGGAACTATCCTACATGCTGATCTCCAGAAGGGATTCAGCACCTTGGACAGCTCAGAGCCAAACCCATAGTCCACTTTATGGGCAGCAACCACTAAAAGTACATCACTCTACAATGTAGAGTCAATGCAGTTGAACCCCATTTGGAGTGCCATTATACAGTGTTGGCTCATGTTGAGCTTGTGAAGCACTAAAACAGAATATTTTTCCAGGTTAGGTCTAATCAAAGCAGACTAAAGTGGGACTATGACTTTCCCGGATTGAGACACTACGCTCCACTAAATGCAGCCTAGCATAGAATCCTAGAGTTGGAAGAGACCTCCTGGGCCATCATCCAGTCCAACCCCATTCTGCCAAGAAGCAGGAATATTGCATTCAAATCACCCCTGACAGATGGCCATCCAGCCTCTGTTTCAAAGCTTCCAAAGAAGGAGCCTCCACCACACTCCGGGGCAGAGAGTTCCACTGCTGAACGGCTCTCACAGTCAGCAAGTTCTTCCTCATGTTCAGATGGAAACTCCTCTCTTGTAGTTTGAAGCCATTGTTCCAATGCGTCCTAGTCTCCAAGGAAGCAGAAAACAAGCTTGCTCCCTCCTCCTCCCTGTGGCTTCCTCTCACATATTTATACATGTGAACATGTTGTCAAAGGCTTTCATGGCTGGAATCACTAGGTGGCCATGTTTCAGCAATATTCTCTCCAACGTTTGGCCTGCATCTGTGGCTAAAGGCATCTTTAGAGGCCTGTTGGCAGTGAGGAAAATGGAGTGTATATATATATATATATATATCCATGGAATAATGTCCAGAATGGGAGAAAGAACCCCTGTATGTTTGGAGCAAGTGTGAATTTTGCAATTAGCCAGTATTGAGTAGTATTGATTAGCCATGAAGTGTGCAAAACCAATCTGTGAGGGTCTCTGCATAGAGGCAGCCAGGCTGTTGTTGCCTCGAGGCACCCTCTGTTTGGGAGATGTTTACTGGCACTTGATTGCTTGCTGTCTAACGTTCCCATGTTTCTGAGTGGTGTTCCTTATTGATTCTGGTGTTTTTTTAATACTGGTCACCAGATTGTATTCATTATCATAGAAGGTTACAACAACATCTGTTATAGAACTCCAATATGCTGATGACAATGCCTTCTGTGGGCATTCAGAAGAAGACCTACAAAACACTCTATACATCTTCGCAGAAGCATACGAGAAGCTTGGCCTCTCATTGAACATCGAGAAAACCAAAGTGCTCTTCCAGCAGTCACCGGCCAATCCCTCTCCAATGTCAGAGATACAGCTTAATTGCGTAACATTAGAAAATGTTGACCATTTCCGCTCCCTTGGCAGCCACCTCTCCACCAAAGTCAACATCGACACCGAAATACAACACCGCCTGAGCTCTGCGAGTGCAGCATTTTCCTGAATGAAGCAGAGAGTGTTTGAGGACCGGGACATCCGTAGGGATACCAAGGAGCTTGTTTATAAAGCTATTGCCCTCCCAACTCTGCTGTATGCCTGCGAAACGTGGACTGTCTACAGACATCACATGCAACTCCTGGAACGATTCCATCAGCTCTGTCTCTGGAAAATCTTGCAAATCTCTTGGGAAGACAGGCGGACAAACGTCAGCGTGCTGGAAGAAACAAAGACCACCAGCATTGAAGCGATGGTCCTCCGCCATCAACTCCGCTGGACCGGCCACATTGTCCGGATGCCTGACCACTGTCTCCCAAAGCAGTTGCTCTACTCCGAACTCAAGAATAGAAAATGGAATGTTGGAGGAGAGGAAAAGAGATTGAAAGACGGGCTCAAAGCCAACCTTAATAACTCAGAGAGAACTGGGAAGCCCTGGCCCTTGAGCGCTCCAGCTGGAGGTCAGCTGTGACCAGCAGTGCTGTAGAATTTGAAAAGGCATGAATGGAGGGCGAAAGAGAAAGAGAAATGTGCCAAGAGGAAGGTGCATCAAGCCAACCCCGACTGGGACCACCTTCCACCTGGAAACCGATACCTTCACTGCGGGAGAAGATACAGATCAAGAATAGGGCTCCACAGTCACCTACAGACCCACCAACAGGACACTGACCTTGGAGACTACGAGGGATCGCCTAAGTAAGTAGTTCCTCCATTTTGTTGAAATTGTCCACATGCTTCTTGTGGATTTCAATGTTTTCTCTGTGTCGTCTGACATGATGGTTGCCAGAACGGTCCGGCATTTCTGAGACCAGGTTGGTTCATCAAGTGCTCTGCTATAGCTGACTTCTCTGGTTGGATTAGTCTGAAGAAGGGTATCTGCCTAGAAGACCACTTGATGAACCAACCTGGGCACAGAATCCACTTGCCTCATTCCCAACAAACCTCTGAGGATGCCAGCGACAGATGCAAGTGAAACGTCAGGAGAGAATGCTGCTGGAACACAGCCAGACAACTCAAAAAAACTCACTGCAACCCAATGAAGCCTATGATCATGCTGACCCTTATAGGTGGCTGACCTTTGTCTGGGTGGGCCTTCCGGATGCCCTCGGCCGTCTGGTAGGCGTGGAAGGAGTTGGGGAAGTCGACGTCGGGATCCGACTCATCCACCACGTTGTCCAGCAGATCCAGGGCTTCCATGATGGTCATCCGGCGGAGGCCGCAGCCCCCGTATTCCTCATTCTAGGGAGAGGGAACTGTGAGGAGACTGTCATTGAACAGAGCCCTCGAGCAACCACTTGAAATATATTCAACATCAAAAGACCCAGATATTTGAGGGGAAAGGTATTTGAGATATCCTATGCAGATATGGAGAAGTTACAGTTCTGAAAACTTAATAAAAAGGAATTGCAAGAATATTTCAGAACTGCTCCCTCTAGTGGTGAAAGTCTTCTGTCATGGTCTCCACTTTTCCTCTCTTTGCAAGCTATGTTTTATTACATTGTATCAAAACATTCACCTGTCAGCAGCTTATGATACCATAAACCACCGCCTCCTCCTGAGAAAAATGTATAATCTCACAAAGGACGACCACCTCACCCGCCTCATAGGAAACCTGCTACAAAACAGGAGCTTTTTTGTTGAGTTCCAGGGCCAGAGAAGCAGGTGGCGGAAACAGAAGAACGGCCTGCCTCAGGGGAGCGTGCTTGCTCCATCCATGTTCAACATCTACACAAATGACCAGCCACTGCCAGAAGGGACAGAGAGCTTCATCTATGCTGATGATCGTGCCATCACCACTCAAGGAAATCAGCTACCAAACAGGAACTTTTTTGTTGAGCTCCAGGGCCAGAGAAGCAGATGGTGGAAACAGAAGAACGGCCTGCCTCAGAGGAGCGTGCTTGCCCCATCCATGTTCAACATCTACACAAGTGACCAGCCACTGCCAGAAGGGACAGAGAGCTTCATACTCAGCATTCCCAGTTTTGGTGTGGCACTTGTTCACTCAGCAGGGTGATTTGGTCAAATAAACCTGTTGTATGCCAGAACGGACAGAGAGTTTCATCTATGCTGATGATCGTGCCATTACTGCTCAAGCAGGGAGCTTTGAGATGGTTGAACAGAAGCTCTCTGAAGCTCTACGTGCCCTTACTGCCTATGACAGGGAAAACCAGCTGATTCCTAATCCATCTAAAACACAGACATGTGCCTTTCACCTTAAGAACAGACAAGCATCCCAAGCTCTGAGGATTATTACCTGGGAAGGAACCCCACTGGAGCATTGCAGCGCACCCAAATACCTGGGAGTCACTCTGGACCATGCTCTGACCTACAAGAAGCACTGCCTGAACATCAAGCAAAAAGTGGGAGCTAGGAACAATATCATACGAAAGCTGACTGGCACAACCTGGGGATCACAACCAGACACAGTGAAGACATCTGCCCTTGCGCTATGCTACTCTGTTGCTCAGTGTGGAATACATCTCACCACAGTAAAACAGTGGATGTGGCTCTTAATGAGACATGCCGCATTATCACGGGGTGTCTGCGCCCTACACCACTGGAGAAATTACACTGCTTAGCCGGTATTGCACCACCTGACATCTGCCGGGAAGTGGCAGCCAATAGTGAAAGGACCAAGGCAGAGACATCTCCAGCCCATTCCCTGTTTGGGTATCAGCCAGCACGTCAACGACTTAAATCAAGAAATAGTTTTCTAAGATCTACAGAGACACTCACTGGAATACCTCAGCCAGCAAGAGTCCAAAAGTGGCAGGCTCAAACCCAGAATCTCAACCAAATGAGAGACTCCCCCCTGGGCACACAGAAGACGGGGCGACTTGGAAGGCGCTGAACAGACTGTGCTCTGGCACCACGAGATGCAGAGCCAACCTCAAGAAATGGGGCCACAAAGTGGAGTCCACCACATGCGAGTGCGGAGAAGAGCAAACCACTGACCACCTGCTGCAATGCACCCTGAGCCCTGCCACATGCACAAGGGAGGACCTCCTTGCGGCAACACCAGAGGCACTCCAAGTGGCCAGATACTGGTCAAAGGACATTTAACCAACTACCAAGCTACTAAATGAACTCACCTTCTTCCGCACGAACTCCACCGTCTGGTTCGTGTGCATCTGCAGGTACGTCTTGAACACTCGCTCCATCAGCGGACCGTCCTATGAAAGCAGGACCCAAGGAGCAAGCTTAACATACCTTGATGCAACCTGCGTCTACATTGAGGAATTAGTGCAGTTTGGCCCCACTTGGGCTGCTGCGGCTCAATGCTGTGGAACCCTGGGAGTTACAGTTTGCAGGACAAAGTATAGCAACTACAACTCCCAGGATTCCATAACACTGAGCCATGGCTTGAAGGCACATGGAGACAACATTTATGGTCATGTTTACACACTTTGGATCAGCCATGGGCAAACTTCAGCCCTCCTTCCAGGTGTTTTGGACTTCAACTCCCACAATTCCTAACAGCCTACCGGCTGTTAGGAATTGTGGGAGTTGAAGTCCAAAACACCTGGAAGGAGGGCTGAAGTTTGCCCATGCCTGGTGCAGAGAAAAGGACAATTACCCCCAAACCACACCTGTATACACTGTTGGCCATGTTGGATCTTTGTGCCAAGTGTGGTCCAGATCCATCATCTGCTGGGTTCAGTGTTCCATTAATACGGGTGAACTATAACTCCCAGGTTTCAAGGTCAATCATCTCCAAAGTCCACCAGTATTCAAGGTTGGCCATGTTGGTTCTGCATGCCAAGTTTGGTCCAGATCCATCATCTGCTGGGTTCAGTGTTCCCTGAATACGGGTGAACTATAACTCCCAGGTTTCAAGATCAAACATCTCCAAAGTCCACCAGTATTCAAGGTTGTCCATGTTGGTTCTGCGTGCCAAGTGTGGTCCAGATCCATCATCTGCTGGGTTCAGTGTTCCCTGAATACGGGTGAACTATAACTCCCAGGTTTCAAGGTCAATCATCTCCAAAGTCCACCAGTATTCAAGGTTGTCCATGTTGGTTCTGCGTGCCAAGTGTGGTCCAGATCCATCATCTGCTGGGTCCAGTGGTCCCTGAATACGGGTGAACTATAACTCCCAGGTTTCAAGGTCAGTCATCTCCAAAGTCCACCAGTATTCAAAGTTGGTCATGTTGGGTCTGTGTGCCAAGTTTGGTCCAGATCCGTCACCTGCAGGGGTCAGATTGCTCTTAGATTGCAGGTGAACTATACATCCCAGACCCTACAACTCCTATAAATCATGGTGAATTCTCCCCAAACCCTTCTCTCCGGATGTTCAGTTGCTGTGTGCCGTAGGAAAGGGTTAAGGGAGAGGTAGTGGGAGGGGTCGTGCAAATTCCACACCAATGGGGAGAGAAAGGAACCCTGGGATGTGGAGAAAGAATGGAACTCTCGGTTGTGGAGAGAGAATGGAACCCTGGAATCGGAGAAAGAATGGAACCCTGGGATATGGAGAAAAAAATTGAACCCCGGGATGTGGAGAGAGAATGGAACCCTGGGATGTGGAGAGGGAATGGAACCCTGGGATGTGAAGAGAGAATGGAACCCTGGATGTGGAGAAAGTATGGAATCTCAGGATGTGGAGAAAGAATGGAACCCTGGGATGTGGAGAAATAATGGAATCCCGGGATGTGGAGAGAACATGGAACCCCAGGATGTGGAGAAAGAATGGAACCATGGGATGTGGAAAGAGAATGGAACCCTGGGATGTGGAGAAAGAATGGAAACCTGGGACGGGGAGAAAGAATGGAACCCTGGGATGTGGAGAGATAATGGAAATCTGGGATGTGGAGAGAGAATTGAACCCCAGGATGTGGAGAGAGAATGGAACCCTGGAATCGGAGAAAGAATGGAACCCTAGGATATGGAGAGTGAATGGAACCCCGGGATGTGGAGAGAGAATGAAACCCTGGCATGTGGAGAAATAATGCAACCCTGGGATGTGGATAAAGAATGAAACCTCAGGATGTGGAGAGAGCATGGAACCCCAGGATGTGAAGAGAGAATGGAACCCTGGGATGTGGGGAGAGAATGGAACCCTGGGATGTGGAGAAAAAATTGAACCCCAGAATGTGGAGAAATAGTGGAATCCTGGGATGTGGAGAGAGAATGGAACCGTGAGATGTGGAGAGGGAATGGAACCCTGGGATGTGGATAAAGAATGGAACCCCAGGATGTGGAGAGAGCATGGAACGCCAGGATGTGGAGAAAGAATGGAACCATGGGATGTGGAGAAAGAATGGAACCCTGGGATGTGGAGAAAGAATGGAACCCTGGGATGTGGAGATGGAATGGAACCCTGGGGTGCGGAGAAAGAATGGAACCCCGGGATGTGGAGAGTGAATGGAACCCTGGGGTGTGGAGAGAGAATGGAAACCTGGGATGTGGAGAGAGAATGGAACCCCAGGATGTGAAGAGAGAATGGAACCCAGGGATGTGGAGAGAGAATGGAACCCTGGAATCAGAGAGAAAATGGAACCCTGGGATGTGGAGAAAAAATGGAACCCCGGGATGTGGAGAGAGAATGGAACCGTGAGATGTGGAGAGGGAATGGAACCCTGGGATGTGGAGAGAGAATGGAACTCCGGGATGTGGAGAGAGAATGGAACCCTGGAATCGGAGAAAGAATGGAACCCTGGGATGTGAAGAGATAATAGAACCCTGGAATTGGAGAAAGAATGGAACCCTGGGATATGGAGAAAGTATGGAATCCCGGGATGTTGAGAAAGAATGGAACTCTGGGATGTGGAGAAGGAATGGAACCCTGGAATCGGAGAAAGAATGTAACCCTAGGATGTAGAGAAAGAATGGAACCCTGGGATATGGAGAGAGAATGGAACCCTGGGATGTGGAGAAAGAATGTAACCCTAGGATGTAGAGAAAGAATGGAACCCTGGGATATGGAGAGAGAATGGAACCCTGGGATGTGGAGAGAGAATGGAACCCTGGGATGTGGAGAAAGAATGTAACCCTAGGATGTAGAGAAAGAATGGAACCCTGGGATATGGAGAGAGAATGGAACCCTGGGATGTGGAGAGAGAATGGAACCCTAGCATGTCAAGGACTTGAACCCTGGGATGTGGAGAAAGAATGGAACCCCAGGATGTGGAGAGAGAATGAAATGCTGGGATGTGGAGAGAGAATGGAACCATGGGGTGTGGAGAGAGAATGGAACCCTGGGATGTGGAGAAAGAATGGAACCCTGGGATGTAGAGAGAGAATGGAACCCTGGGATGTGGAGAAAGGCTGGAACCCTGGGATGTGGAGAAAGAATTGAACCCTGGAATGTGGAGAGAGAATCGAACCCTGGGATGTGGAGAGAGAATGGAACCCTGGGATATGGCTCGTTGTAACCTGCAATGTCCTTGGAGGAAGGGCTTTGGTGGCTCCTTAGCACTGGGGGTTAAAGCAGTTTTTGGAAGTGGGAACTTGTCTGTGTAAATGGGAAGTCCTGCCACATACACACATACAGATTTTCACTTTTATTATGTGTATAGATAGATAGAATAGATATGTGTGTGTGTGTAACTCCAGCCACACACACACACACATATATGACTGGAGTGACATGGTTTCGGGGTTGCATGTCTATCCCTTGCAAACATGAGGTTCGGACTGTTTCCTGCCTGACCTTGAAATTGCGGAAGTCCTCCTTGAGCTTTCCATTCTCCTCCTGGACATCTGGACGGTAGATTTCGGACGGGTCGCATCCCTGCAGAAAGAAGGGTCGTGAGGACCAGAAATGGCCAATCCAGCCCCAAAGGGACGGAAAATGCAAGGACATACGTTGCCCAAAATCACCAACCAGTTGCTTCTCAAAGCAGAACAACACAGGCCGTAAATACAACACTTAACGATCTCCATGGGTCAGAATGTAAGAGAGATGGACAAGCCCAGTGATGGCATCCTACAACTCTCTTGGGTAGCTCAAGAGCAGCCATGGGCAAACTTCAGCCCTCCAGTTGTTTTGGACTCCAACTCCCACAATTCCTAATAGCTGGTACACTTATTGTACAGTAGTAGGTGATCTGTTATTATTTTAATTAATATAAAATTATTATATTAATTAAATATAATAATATAATAATAGAGAGGGGGGGCCAGGGGACAGTTCCATCTTGTCTCCTGCATATGCCATCAGTTGGGGACCCCTCCCCGCCCCCTGCCCCCAGCACCTTGTCTCCTGCGCTATACTAATATAATATAATGTAATGTAATATATTGTATATACATATAATATTTATAATATTATAATGTAATACAATATAATAATATAGTATAATAATATAGTATTATATTGCATATAATATACGGATGGAACAAATCAAGAACTTTGGTCCAAAAGCAAGGCGCTGGCTGCTGGAGCTGATGAACAACGGCACTGCATCCTGGGAAGGAATCCCACTGGAGCATTGCAGCGCACCCAAATACCTGGGAGTCACTCTGGACTGTGCTCTGACCTACAAGAAGCACTGCCTGAACATCAAGCAAAAAGTGGGTGCTAGGCACAATATCATACGGAAGCTGACTGGCACAACCTGGGGATCACAACCAGACACAGTGAAGACATCTGCCCTTGCGCTGTGCTACTCTGCTGCTGAGTATGCATGCCCAGTGTGGAACACATCTCACCACACTAAAACAGTGGCTGTGGCTCTTAATGAGAAATGCCGCATTATCACAGGGAGTCTGCGCCCGACACCACTGGAGAAATTACACTGCTTAGCCGGTATTGCACCACCTGACGTCCGCCAGGAAGTAGCAGCCAATAGTGAAAGGACCAAGGCAGAGACATCTCCAGCTCATCCCCTGTTTGGGTATCAGCCAGCACGTCAACGACTTAAATCTAGAAATAGTTTCTCTAAGATCTACAGAGACACTCGCTGGAACACCTCAGCATGCGAGAGTACAAAAGTGGCAGGCTCAAACCCAGAACCTCAATCAATGGACCAAACTCCCACACAGAACCCCCGTGACCAACTGTGTTTTCTGATGGTCTTTGGCAATCCCTCTGACACTCCCTGGCGACCCCTGCAAGGGTCCCGATCCCCAGGTTGAGAACCACTGATCTACAGAGACACTCACTGGGATACCCCAGCAAGCGAGAGTCCAAAAGTGGCAGGCTCAAACCCAGATCCTCAATCAATGGCTGATACCCAATGAGAGACTCCCCCCTGGGCACGCAGAGGACTGGGCTACTTGGAAGGCGCTGAACAGAGATGCAGAGCACCACGAGATGCAGAGCCAACCTTCAGAAATGGGGCCACAAAGTGGAAGCCACGACTTGCGAGTGTGGAGAAGAGCCAACCACTGACCACCTGCTGCAATGCAACCTGAGCCCTGCCACATGATGCACAAGGGAGGACCTCCTTGCAGCAACACCAGAGGTGCTCCAAGTGGCCAGCTTCTACTCAAAGGACATTTAGTATCATGGCAAGTTTGCAAACTATGTGTTTTTAAATACATCCCAACTGTACACTTGGTTCGCTCCTGATACGATAAATAAACAAATCATTAAATCCTTATTTTCCTCCGTCTCCTCCAATTGAGGACGGCTCTTCCTCCCTAGAGACCAGTTTGGGGTACTCACCACGTTCACCACCTCCATCCCGTCCACTCTTGGAGAGCAAAACGATGCCTCTCTCTCCTGCTTGGCCTTTCCTTTATAGCCTTCCGTCTTATGCAAGGAGAGCCAGCAGGAACCCGACCCAGGCCAATAAGTCACCCGTTAACCCAGTCGGGGCCAAATTCCTTCTGCCAAACAAACCATGAATGCACCGAGCGAGCATCCTTTTGCGAGGAGGTGGGGAACCCCCTGCATCCCAGAGGACCAGCAGAGGAGCCACCCACAAAAGCAGGCTGTCAACAAGGACCCAGTGTCCCCAGTCAACAACGCAACGGTGGCCAACTGGTCAACTGGGCCAGGAAGGAGTGTGTCCTGCGCAAGAGCGTGACTGGGAACAGAGCGTGAAGCTGGGACCGGGCCAGAAGATGTTCTGGGGCAAGGGGAAACAGGTAAGGAAACGGGGTTCGGAATGCCCTTTGATTGTAGACTAACTGTAAATCCCAGCAACTACAACTCCCAAATATCAAGGTCTCTTTCCCGCAAACTCCACCAGTGTTCACATTTGGGCATATTGAGTATTGGTGCCAAGTTTAGTCCAGATCTATCATTGTTTGAGCCCACAGTGCTCTCTGGATGTAAGTGAACTACAACTCCCAAATGCAAGGTCAATGCCCATCAAACCCTTCCAGTATGTTCTGCTGGTCATGGGAGTTCTGTGTGCCAAGTTTGGTTCAATTCCATTGTTGGTGAAGTTCAGAATGCTCTTTGATTGTAGGTGAACTATAAATCCCAGCAACTACAACTCCCAAATGTCACGGTCTATTTTCCCCAAACTCCACCAGTGTTCACATTTGGGCATATTGAGTATTGTGCCAAGTTTGGTCCAGACCCATCATTGTTTGAGTCCACAGTGCTCTCTGGATGTAGGTGAACTACAACTCCAAAACTCAAGGTCAATGCTCACTAAACCCTTCTAGTGTTTCTGTTGGTCATGGGAGTCCTGTGTGCCAAGTTTGGTTCCATTCCATTGTTGGTGGGGCTCAGAATGCTCTTTGATTGTAGGTGAACTGTAAATCCCAGCAACTACAACTTCCAAATGACAAAATCAATCCCTCCCCTCAAGTATTCAGATTTGGGCGTATGGGGTATCTGTGTCAAATTGGGTCCAGTGAATGAAAATACATCCTGCATATCAGATATTGACATTACGATTCATAACAGGAGCAAAATGACAGTTATGAAGTTGCAAGGGAAATAACGTTATGGTTGGGGGTCACCACAACATGAGGGACTGTGTTGCGGCATTAGGAAGGTTGAGAAACACTGCTGTAGACCTTATGCAGACTGACACTACTTGCACTGCCTTCCATCAATATGGAGGCATTGGGATTTGTAGCTTGGTGAGGTGCCAGCTCTCTTTGGAAGCAAAGGCTGAAGAGCTCGTTACGCTACAACTTCCATGCATGACGAAGGCTGAGAAACACTACATATACCCATTGAATCGGTGGTGGAAAAGCCAGGGAACAATTTGTCTCTTCCAAACCTCACAACTTATAGAAATCTAGAGTTGAAAGGGGCCTCTAAAGGCCATCCAGCTCAACCCCCCTTATTTATTATTTGTTTATTTACAGCTTTTATATTTTATATTTCCAGCTTCTCACCCCGCATGGGACTCAAGGCGGATTACAGTGTACACATATATGGCAAACATTCAATGCCAATTTTTGACATACAAACATATACAGACATACACAGAGGCTATTTTAACTTTTTCTGGCCGCCGGGGAGCTGTCGCTTTCATCGTCCATCTGCAACGCTAATGAAGCACTTCCGCATTCCCCACATGCTTCCCCGCTGGAGTGCTTTGCTGGAGTCTTCTTTATGGCCTCATAAATCAGTTAATTTAGCCTCCCCACACTTTTTAAGGTGGTACCTAATTTTCCTACTTGACAGGTGCAACTGTCTTTCGGGATGCAAAGGTCGACAACAGGCTACACAATTGGTTGGAAACCCACTCCAACCCAGGCTGGTTTCGAACTCACTGTTGGGATTCAGCCTGCGTGTGAACCTGAACCTGATTCTCTGATTGTATTTCCTGATGCTACTGAACATGTATTTTTCCCTGATGGTAATGAAAATGTTGATTCCGAGGTCAGTGGCTTGGAAAGTGAAACTACACATTCTGATGAGAATTCTGCAGAGCCAAGTGGTAATAGCTCTCCAGAGGAGTTAGCACCTGGGTTCCTTAATGAGGATAGAAAAAGACAAGATTTGGAAAAACATGAGTGAATCGCAGAGTCTGCGAAGGTCAAGCAGATTAAGGGAAAAGGAAACACAGGCTTCAAAGCCTGGAGGCGTGTCACGAAACAGCTTCTTCAGTTTTAAGTGCCTCTCGCCGGGTTGTCTCGTTAGATCATAGAATCATAGAATCATAGAATCAAAGAGTTGGAAGAGACTTCATGGGCCATCCAGTCCAACCCCCTGCCAAGAAGCAGGAATCGTTTAGACTGAGGCATTACCTTGGCAGATTTCCCGTTTCCCGTGGCCTACATCCCAAGAGGCTTCTAGTGCTCCAAGTACGGTTAGTGAATTGCTAACAGGTTCCAGGTTTTTACAGTGTTGCTTTTGGATATTGATCTAGTTCATGGATCTTCTTGACTGCTGAATTTTACTGTGGCTTTTTGACTTTGCATTTTCTTCTATTTTGTAACCATTTTTCATCAATAAAAAAGGATTGTTTTTCCCACAGAATTAATCTTATGGTCTCGTTTCCTGATCTGGGTTGCAACACTCATGACCTTTTGGTCAGAGTGATCTTAATGCAGCTGACACTCAGCCAGCTGTGCCACAATCCCGGTGCAATAAAGGAAGACACAACCAAAGTGCTCCCAACGGACGAACAGTGATAAGCCTGTCCCAGTGGCAACAGACTGGTACAACTAGGCTCTAAAAGGAGACCCCCTCTCCCTCCTGACAGGTCAAAGTTAGGCCCCTTGATTGATGAATGTAAGCTGCATGCTTGCTCTTTAGAAAGACACAGAGACACGCCTTTCGCATGTTGGAAGGTAGAACTTGATATTCTTATGATGCTAAGATGACGCAGTGAATGATGTCAATGTATGTAGAAGCATGTTCTTTGTTTGCCTGAATTTGAAGGCTATAAAAGCCACAGTCAACACCTATATCATTGCTCTGGTTTGCTTTTGGACGCAGATCCACACCAGAGCCCCAGCTGGAAATAAAATCCGTGCTTTTGAGACCTCTGGACCTCTCCTTGTCTCTTTTCCTTAACCTTCTCCCTGCCATTTCATTATCAGCACCAGGTGGTCATGATTCAAGAGATCAATGTGGAAAGGAGGCCTACCCAATCATCCTGTGCATTGAATTCAGGCCTCTTCTGGAGTCCTTCTTCCTCCTTCAAGGGCGCATGGAGACAAGCACAAGAGGCCCTCAGCCTGGAACTCACTCCATGGAAGTTGGGAGGAAGTGTTTCAGGAAGGCCCTACTTGTAAACAAACCTTCTGGCCTCTTTAAAGATGGAACCTTGCATCTTTGCCTGCTAAGCTCCAAATTCTTTTGCAGCCACACACAACACTTCACCTACTGCTTGCTGTAAGCTTGGCCACGGTAGTCCATGCTCTGGTTACATCCCGTATAGATTACTGCAACGCGTTCTACGTGGGGTTGCCTTTGAAGACGGCCCGGAAGCTCCAGATGGTCCAACGTGCAGCAGCCAGGTTGCTAACAGGAGCGGCGCTCAGGGAGCATACAACTCTGCTGAACCAGCTCCACTGGCTGCCAGTTTGCTACCGGGCTCCATTTAAAGTGCTGGCTTTAGCCTATAAAGCCCTAAACGGTTCCAGCCCAGCTTATCTATCCGAACGCATCTCTTCCTACGAACCCTCCAGGAATTTGAGATCGTCTGGGGAGGCCCTGCTCTCGATCCCGCCTGCTTCGCAAGCACGTCTGGCGGGGACAAGAGACAGGGCCTTCTCTGTGGTGGCCCCTCGGCTGTGGAACTCCCTGCCTAGGGACATTAGATCAGCTCCCTCCCTCCTGACCTTTCGGAAAAGAGTAAAAACTTGGCTCTTTGAGCAAGCATTTGGAACCTCCGAATAAATAGACAAACTTGAATTGCAAAATGACCCAGGAACGGCCCGAGACGATGGAACGGATAAGTACTTGAATGAGAGGATATAGTTTTTAGCTTTAAATATTGTTATTATGCACTGTCTTATGTCTTGACTCCAGGCACTGCCAGGCCATCAAATGCTAATCAAGGCGGTCAGTTGAAACATTCACATCTAGCTCCAGCAGACAAAAGTCCTTTGTCCCACCCTGGCCATTCCACAGATATATAAACCCATTTTCCTATTTCCAACAGACCTCACTACCTCTGAAGATGCTTGCCATAGATGCAGGCGAAACATCAGGAGAAAAATTGCCTCCAGAACATGGACATATAGCCCGGAAAAACCTACAACAGCCCAGTGATCCCGGCCATGAAAGCCTTCGACAATACATTGAACACTTCAAATCTTCCAAACCTCACAACTTATAGAACCCTAGAGTTGAAAGGAGCCTCTAAAGGCCATCCAGCTCAGCCCCCTTCGGCAATAAAGGCACAACCAAAGTCCTCCCAATAGATGAACAGTGAAAAGCCTCCCGAGAAGGAGACTCCACCAGACTCCCAGCTGCAACATCGTCTACCATCAAACAACTCTTACTCTCGGGAGATTCTTCCTGTGGAATTTCCTCCGGGAGTTTGGATCCGTTGCTCCATCATGTCCTAGTCTCAGTCTTGACACTAGTCTCCTAGGGACGCAGCCTAGAACCGCATTAGCCTATTTAGCTTGACTCATGCTGAGTGTCCGGTCTTCTAAGACTCCCAGATTCCTTTTACACAGAACTGTTTTCAAGCCAGAAAAAAACACAAACAATCAGGGTCTTGGTTTTTTTGTGGTTTTAATTGCAAAATGTACAAAGAGCATTAAATCAACCAAAGTCTTGTATCCAAAGGTTTTCTCTCCATTGGGCTCAAAGGTGCGCGCAAAGGAATTTATCCCAGGAGGCCGTCAAAGCGCAAGGACAGCAGGACCACTGCAT